AATGAAAGAAACTTATGTTAGTACTATATCTGGTAGTACAAAATTAATTGAAGGCTCCGGAAGAGCAAATGTAATTCTCCCAGGAGGGACAAATTTTTGCGTTGATGATGCAATATACTCTTCAAAATCTCAAAGAAACTTGTTGAGTTTTAAAGATATTCACAGAAATGGATATCTTGTTGAAACAAATTGTGAAGATAATATCGAACACTTGTACATTACAAATATAATTTCTGGAAGTAAAATTATCTTAGAGAAATTGTATTCATATTCTCATGGGCTATACTACACAAGTATTGCAGCCATTGAAACTTATACAACAGTAAACCCGAAGTTTACTAGTTATGGTGATTTTGTCGTTTGGCAAGACCGGTTGGGCCATCCCGGTTACATTATGATGCGAAAAATACTAGAGAATTCATATGGTCATTCTTTAAAGAGCCATAAGATTCTTCAATCAAATGAATTCTCATGTGCTGCTTGTTCTCAAGGCAAGTTAATTGTCCGGCCATCACCAGTAAAAATCCGCTCTAAATCTCTAGCGTTTTTAGAACGCATACATGGAGATATTTGTGGGCCTATTCACCCACCTTGTGGGCCATTTTGATATTTTATGATTTTAATTGACACATCCACGAGATGGTCACATGTGTGCTTGTTATCAACTCGTAACTTGGCATTTGCAAAATTATTAGCCGAGCTAATTCGATTAAGAATATATTTTCCTGATAATCCTATCAAGACAATTCGTCTTGACAATGCTAGTAAATTCACGTCTCAATCATTTAATGACTGTTGTATGTCTATTGGGATTAAAGTTGAACATCCTGTAGCTTACGTTCACACACAAAATGGAATGGCAGAATCTTTTATCAAGCGAATTCAACTAATTGCAAAGCCATTACTTATGAAAACAAAGTTGCCAGTATCAGCTTGGGGTCATGCTGTATTGCATGCGGCTGCCTTAATTCGCATAAGGCCAACAAATTACCAGGAATATTCTCCCCAACAAATGGTTTTTGGTCAGGAACCTAATATTTTCCATCTAAGAATTTTCGGATGTGCGGTTTATGTTCCAATTGCTCCACCACAACGTACAAAGATGGGACCTCAAAGGAGGTTGGGAATATATGTTGGGTATGAGTCTCCATCTATTCTAAAATACCTTGAGCCTAGAACTAGAGATTTATTTACTGCACGTTTTGCTGATTGTCATTTTGATGAATCAGTCTTCCCAACATTAGGGGGAGAAATTAAACTTCCGGATAAGAAAATTAGTTGGAATGAATCAACGTTATCTCATCTTGATCCTCGTACAGGCCAATGTGAACTTGAAGTTCAAAGATAATTCATTTACAACATTTAGCAAATCAATTAGCAGATACTTTTACTGACCTAAAACGTGTGACTAAGTCGCATGTACCGGCTGCTAATGCTCCAATAAGAATTGATGTTCCTGAAGGACCGTCTACCACTAACAATGAATTAAAGGCACATCTAAAACGTGGTAGGCCAATTGGTTCCAAAGATAAAAATCCTCGTAAACGAAAAGGAGCAAATAATGAAGATGGTAAAATCGAGGTAACTAAGATTCTCGAAGAATCCTCAAGAATAAAAACTCCTGAAGAGACAAATGACATAATAGATAATAAACTTCCAGAAGAAGTTCATGTACCTGAAAATGTTGATAATGATGAAATCTCAATTAATTATGTCGTTACTGGAGAAAAATGGAACCGATGTGTAACAGAAGTTGATGATAAGTTTGCATATTTTGTAGCAATTAACATTATGAATGAAAATGAGGATCATGAACCGAGGTCTGTAGATGAATGCAGACATAGAAATGATTGGCCAAAATGGAAAGATGCAATTCAAGCTGGATTAGATTCACTGGCAAAACGCAAAGTTTTTGGACCAGTAATACGCACACCCGAAGACGTGCAACCCGTAGGTTTTAAGTGGGTATTTGTGTGAAAAAGAAATGAGAATAATGAAATCGTGTGATATAAGGCACGACTTGTCGCACAAGATTTTTCCCAAAGACCGGGCATTGACTATGAGGAGACATATTCTCCCCTGGTGGATGCAACAACTTTTAGATATTTACTAAATCTGGTAGCTATTGAAAAACTTGAAATGCGTCTTATGGATGTTGTGACAGCCTATTTATATGGCTCACTAGATAATGATATCTATATGAAGATCCCTGAAGGATTTCAATTACCTAAGGGATAAGATCCAAATTCTTGAGAACTTTATTCAATTAAATTGTGTAAATCTTTGTACGAATTAAAACAAGAAGGACGAATGTGGTATAATCGCCTTGGCAAATATTTGATAAAGGAAGGTTATAAGAATGATCTCATTTGTCCTTGTGTTTTCATTAAAAGATCCGAATCAGAATTTACAATTATTGCAGTTTATGTTCATGACTTAAATATTATGGGGACCCCTGAAGAGGTTAGAAAAACTGCAAATTGTGTAAAACGAGAATTTGAAATAAGATCTTGGAAAGACAAAATTTTGTTTGGGACTGCAAATTGAGCACTTAGAAAGTGGTATTTTTCTACATCAGTCCACGTATACAGAAAAAGTGCTTAAACGTTTTTATATGGACAAATCACACCCTTTGAGCACACCTATTGTGGTAAGATCCCTTGATAAGGATAAAGACCTTTTCCGGCCTCGTGGGGAAAATGAAGAACTACTTGGTCCAGAAGTACCATATCTTAGTGCTATTGGAGCATTGATGTATCTCGCTAGTCATACACGGCCTGATATATCATTTGCTATTAATTTGTTAGCACGATATAGTTTTGTACCTACACGAAGGCATTGGAATGGTATTAAAATTATATTTTGGTATCTTCAAGGTACGATTGATATGGGCTTTATTATTCAAAGGCATCCAAGTTGGATCTGATCGGTTATGCTGATGCTGGATATTTATCCGATTCTCATAATGGTCGGTCGCAAACAGGGTATCTTTTTACATGTAGAGGAACAACTATATCATGGCGTTCTATGAAAGAAACTCTAACTGCTACTTCTTCCAATCATGCCGAGATTTTAGCAATTCATGAAGCAAGTCGAGAATGTGTCTGGTTAAGATCGATTGTTCATCACATTCGAGGATCATGTGGTTTGCATTTAGACAAGAATGCCCCTACTATCTTGTATGAAGACAATATTGCGTGCATTGATCAATTGAAGGAAGGATATATCAAAGATGATATAACAAAGCATATATCTCCGAAATTCTTCTATACTCACGATCATCAAAAGAGTGGTGAAATCATTGTTCAACAAATTCGCTCAAGCGACAACTTGGCAGACTTATTCACTAAATCATTATAGACTTCAACTTTTGAGAAACTAGTCCACAAAATTGGAATGCGACGACTTAAGGATGTCAAGTGATGTTCTCAACAGGGGGAGTGACTGCACACTGTACTCTTTTTCCCTTCACGAAGGTTTTTATCCCATTGGGTTTTTCCTGGAAGTTTTTAACGAGGCGGTGTCGCATTTGGGTAGTGTACTTTTTTTCCTTTACTAGAACTTTTTTCCCAACGGGTTTTTCCTAGTAAAGGTTTTAACGAGGCATTATTCCGTAAACAACGTCCAAGGGGGAGTGTTATGTAGCCTATTAAATTGGATGTTGTCTTCAGTTCTCTTTATGGTTTTAACTTCATTTACTGCATAACTCCATTAGTGATTCTTTCTTATGTATTTACGAAGTCATGGAGTTAACGTAATGTATTATCTTTAGTTGATTTTAAGCCTATAAATAAAAGCTAAAGTAAATGGAAAAGATACACCCAAAAGTCTTACCACTATTCCTCTCTTCTCCATTTGCCTTATTTTACCAATTTCTTTTAAACAAAAAGACGATAAAAAGAAACAGATTCAATTTTTCAAAACTTAGAATTCCCTGCTTCAACTTACCCTCTTGCATTTTTGGGAATGTGGATATGAATTGGGTAATGATATTGCCAGCACAATTATTAGCATCCAGAGCAAAAAAATACGTATATTTTTCATACTACCCTTATTAAGTCAACTCCTCCTCTTAATCTTTTTGGTCTTCGATTGGTTTTTTCTCTTCCCTGTCGATACCTTCATTCTTCTCCAAATCTGAAACCCCAATCTCTTCTTGCAAATAAGAGAGCAAAATAGACTTTCTGGTATGCCAATCCAACAACCCCATCTATTTTTTTTTTACCTTTTTTGTAGTCATAAAACTAAATAAAAATTTGACATGGACGAGGAGTTTTCCTGGATCTGGAATCATTCTTGGGAATTATTCGGAAGTGCTCATGGTGATAGAACTACAATGAGTAAATCCACCAAAAGAAGAATTCAACGATGAGGAAAACTATTTTTACCATCTGTTAATTAAAACCTTCATCACCAAATTTCATGCTATCTTTTCTCAATCAAACCAAATTGACTACATGTTTCGGCAAAAACAGAATTCAAAATCACCCGCATATTATTATCCTTAAGTTTTAATCAATCTTCCCAGTCAATATGCTCGTCCACACACACTAAGTAGGAGATTTCTTATTTAGATATGGATTTGTTGAATTAATTTTAATTGTCTTGGACATCTGACAAGGATACAACAAAAAAAAGCTGATGATGAAATTGATGATCGGTCATGGTTGTAGAGAATTCTCATGTTATATTGATGATCGTATGATCTTGAATATAGTGGGCATGAGAAATCGGTTGCAAGGAAAAGATTCTCGTTATTATGAAGCAGGGAGAGCAGAGGGCCAGAGAGTGTAAATAAGCAGTTGACCTAACAAGGGCAATACATGTCTTTTTTGCTATGGATGCTAATAATTGTACTCGCAATATCATCACCCATATAAATTTGTGAGACTATATCCTCCAACCACATAAGGGACATGAGTGATCTTTCAACCAGTTATACAGAAAAAGCTGCAATTTAAGTTATGTCACAAACCATTAGGCTCACAACATAGGGCTTCTTAATCCCAATCCCAGCTGTGCGGTCCAAAATAAAGGTACTCCAACTCTCCAAAACAGGATTGCTGCAGGACATCACCATCGCCATCATCACCACTAAGATGGAATTCTGGAAAAGCCCCGTAACAACCAATACCACAAAACTCGGCATAATACTTGAGCGAAAACTCATTCTCATTTATAAAGCAATCTCTGTCTTGGCAATATTCAGGAGTTTTCTGTGCGAATACTCTACCAGGAAGACTGAGTTGGCTAAGATCATCCACACCCCGTGCGTATCGAATGCGTCGACACCGGTACTTGACAGAGTACATTGTAAAGTACAGTAAGGGCAAACGTCCTGACACAGTAGCATTGTCTTGCCCTTCTCCGTCTTCACGGGCGACCAAAACTGCACCAAACGGGCCCCTCAATAAAGCTGCCTCCTCGCTTAAGTAAGACTTGATTTTGTCTTGAATTGAGCTTTTAATCTTATAATATACAACGCTGCCAATCGAGTTAGTCCCAAAATTGAACGAACTTCTTTTAGGTTTACGGTACAAATTCATCATCGCACCGATATATATACATACTCTCCATCCCGAAACGATTGTTCACTTGATTTTTTTTTTTTTTTTTGATACAAAATAGGAGGCAAAAGCCTATATCAAGATATTACAATCCACCGCAAGTAAAAAACACCAACAAAGTCATGTTCTAACCACAGTTTAACCGAAGACGGTAGATCATCTGGCAACTGCCAAGTGCCAACCTCCGGGACTAAAAGAAGCTAACGAGGCCAAATAATCCAAAAAAAATTCGACTCACGAAATTCATGCCTCAACTCCACAAGCTAATCTCTACTAAGCATTTCACGTATAACCCGCACAAGACCACCATTCACCCCTAGAACATCTTTATTCCCTTCCACTATACTAACCACAATCAATTTATCGACATCAAATAGTATTTGACGTATCCCTTTATCCCAGGCAAGGTTTAATCCTTGAAATAAAACCCATAACTCAGCACCCCATAATCCTTGATTTTCATTTTTAATACAAAATGGTATTAAATGTGAAAGTTCAAACAGGTCAACAATTTTAAGGACAGATGGGGCATCACAAAGGGACGAGGCATAAAAGGTTATTATCCTAAAGAAAACAGTCACGCTGAGGAGGTGTCGGAGAGGACGCTTTTGGTTAGATACCAGAAAACTGTCAACTTGTTGGGGATTTATTCGGGAGAGAAAACTTGACATGTAGCCCAATAAGCAGTGTTGTTAAGCTCGGCTCGGACCGATCGGTTAAACCGGTTTAGTCGAGAACCGGACCCTAAACTGAGCCGAGTAAGGAATAAAATCGGCGAAAAAACAATTGGTCAAAACCGATCAAGACCCCGGTCGAACCGGGAATCGGTTAAAATCGGATCGGACTGTGGTCTTTAATTATTTTGACTTGTTGACCAAAAAATTGCACATTTTCCCTGATTCGAAGTTCCAATGTCTTCTTTTCAAGGTCAAATTTTTCTCTTTTGTTCAAAATGACCCTAAAACTTTTAGTAATTTATTTTTTTTCAAAGTATTAGTTTGATATTTTAATCCCTAATTTTAATTTTAATTCCTAAACAGGACTATTTCTTTTTTAATTTCACTCAACAAACTAACTTCCGTCATTTTAAGAATCATTTATATTATAATAACTCTAATATATCACAAAAATTTAATCTCATATCTTGATGTTCATATTGATTATCTTGCAAATTCAATAATTTGTCCAAAAAATAATTTATTTATCTTAATTATTTTATTAGTATGCTAATTTACGTCAAAAAAATAATAATTAATTACTACAAAATGTCAATACAACTATTACAATATGAAAATAGATATAAAATTTAATTTTTTAGTCTTAAATATTTTAAAAAATAAGTATTATTATTTAGTGAAAATGACATCATCCTAATAGACCTCCCGATTTAAATTTGGACATATCAAAACCTATTTAAAATTTATGAATTATTAATTTAACTTTAACAATTGACAAACATATATATATATATAATTATATATTTTCTGATTAAAAATATAATTATTAATTAATTAATATTTATTACGTCATTATGACATCATCCGAGTCGATCTCCCGATTCGCCCGGAGTTGACCCCCGATTCACTCGATTCCTTGGTCATGCCGAGTCAAGCTCTGGTCCGTGCTTGATAACACTGCCAATAAGGATAAAACCCATCTAGACTCAAAAGCTTAAGTTAATGAGTCCTGAGTTTATCTTACTTATTAACTGATTCACATGTCCTCATGCCCCTGACGTAGGATTCACAATCCTTTGCAAATGACCCTCAACATTCTCCCCCGTCATGGACAAACTCCATATCAGGCTTTAAAATTATCTTAACAAGCCCAAATCTGTACTCCACTTGAGTAACTGGGTCCCCCATCCCTACGTTTCCGCTCGTAGTAGGTCTTTGACTACTTAGGTTCAGTCAGATCAACCGAGATAATTTGGGATAAATTACCCACCCAATTGGCCCAACCTGGACTCTGATACCACTGTTGAGAATTTATCCGAGAGAGAAAACCCGACATGGAGTCCAATAAATAAGATAAGACCCATTTGGACTCAAAAGTTCAAGCTAATGGGTCATGAGTTTATCTTACTTATTATCTGATTCACATATCCATATGACTCCGATGTGGGATTCACAATCATTGTCACATGACCCTCAATACGAGTGTCAAGTGCACACCCAACAACTGTTCTTCTTCCAGAATGACCTCTTGGCTTCTCCTGGTGGTACTCCCAGCCACCGCATCAGGCATGTGTATTAGGAAGCCATCCACTGAACATTTCTCGTGGGAAATCAGCAGGGCTTGAGCTCAATTACTTCAATATGTAAAAATTGAATTAATACGGGAGATCAGCACTCAACAGGTTTTGGGAAAGTGACTCAGAGGAAATAGTCAACTGTTTATGCGGGAAGAGAAAAAAGAAGAAAAGGCTATCATTAAAATATTGACATGTTAGGTGCTAGTATTCTCAGACTTTCTGCTGGCCTGTGTCGCTGTGTACACACTACAATTCTCAAAGATTAGTTGCCCCTTTTTTCTTCACTAACTTTTAAGCTCCATTCCGTCATCCGTTGGTTACTGTCAATTTTTTCCCTTTTTGGCGGAAGATTCAGTCATTAGTCAAATTTTACACCCTAAGAGAAAAGAAACATTATACTTGGGACCCCTAAGAAAAAGAAACAGCTATTCAGCTAATCTATACATACAACGATCTGTCTCTGCTTATCTACAAAGCATAAACCGACTAGAGTTCTAGCACAATCCGGAATGATCTTGCTCCTGGTTTTGCAATTAAAGTCGACCGCTCATCATCTGCGTAAAATCAGAATGCTTGTTCTTGGGCTTGTGTGTTGCTGCATTGCTACTGATGATCTTCAGTTGAAAGTGTAGGCGCAGACATCAAAGGCGTGAGATCCCTCAGCTGCTTTTTTGTTTTAGATGCAAAAGGCGTGTCATTTAGTACAGAAGGCGTGGTTTCCTGGACAGTGGACTGTGATCGTGATGATTCTGAGAACTGAACGTTGGAATCACAACCTAAGATTCCATCGAAATTCAAGAATCTTTCACGTCGTACGAATTGAAATTCAACTCCCGTTACAAGCGTTCTTCAATTTTTTACCGTGCAAGTTGGTTTTGGGTTTTGTAATTGCTACATTTTGGTAAACTCACATCTCTCTAGCCAGATAGTAATATCTCGGCTTCAGCCGTCACACCTTTTTCTTCATTACCTTTCCATGCAATAAAATGAATATCTATTTCGACCAAAAAAATATGCATATTGAATTTATATTTTTGTTATTTTAAAATAATTGTATAATTTGAATTTTTATTTATTTAACAGTAGGCACGATCCAAACCATAAGGATTTTTTAGATCCGACCTACAAACAATACTGTAGAGCACGAATTTGTGGTATATAATTAGTTAAAAGTTGGTGACATTAAATATACTACATGCATGGTCGCATATAAATATAAATGAAATCACTTTTTTCCTTAAAATTCCTATGCCTTCTCCAGGGAGTTGATTGGTTGCATCATGCATGTCATATTAACTGGTTTGACTCCCTGGATGGATCAATCACAACCTTCCATGTGTTTGCACATTCTCGTTTGTTTTAGTTTAGTTTTCCAAGCACCTGCTTCCTTTGTTGTAAATTTGTTTTTTTTAAAAAAAATAAATTAATCTTTTCTATTACTTTGCAAGAGACAAAAATAAAATAAAATAAAAATAAATATATTTGCGATCGAGATACCAGTATATGTAAAGGAGGATTTTGTTAAACTCTGTAGTATTAGAAATGCAAAATGGATTGAGGATGCAAACTCAGAACAACACTGAATCTTCGATGGGATCGTTAATTGTAACCTCATAATGTATGGCTCTGTTCTGCAAAGATTGCGAAGATTACCAAAGGGTCACAACACAGTAATGACTTAACAATGCAGCACTCATTAATATGATCTAACTGATGAAGAATGTCAGTTTCCAATTAACATGACATATAGTAAGAATTATACAGATAAAATTGTAACAATACAGAGAAGAATTATACAGGGCATCCAAAATTTTTGGAAACTTGCGATGGGCTGAAAAGTATGCCAAATTGACATCTTCTCAGCAAAATGTCTAAATGCTTTGCACATTAGGCCGTTTGATTCTCAGGAACAAGGGTTATAAGTATATTTTTATCATGTGGTCTGAGATATACTGCTGATGAATATAGCAATATGATTATATGAATTAGAAATGAAAAATTGATCTTCAATTTCTTGTCCCTTCTGGCTAAGCTTTAGCTTCCTGTTCAGCTCCAAGTTTCCTGAATTTCCTTTTTCTTTTGGCACAACATCAAGTCACAAGTTCAATGAGATGTCAGAACGATATTAGGCATCCAACTATGCAATAGCAAAACATTGATACTTCCACCGTCATATTTTCATTAGTCCGCAATTTATAGTGAAAAGGATAAGCTACAATAAATCGTACTAGCATTAAAATACTCTCTCCGTTCCAAAAATTTTACATAATTTTGAATATTACACTAAAACTAGTATAAATTTCAAAACTCAATAATGACTTCTTTTTTTTTTTTTGAAGAGAGATAGGAGATAAAACTATAGACTTTTATCAATAGCAAATTTTGAAACAAAGATAGTGTCAGAGTTTCTCTAGTCCTTACTTCCATACTACTCCCTATATCGATCCTTACTTTTAATTCATTGCTTTTCATTCGTTCATTCATTCATTCAGATTCATTGTTGTAAACCTTCAATTCAAAAATTGAACGAGTTTTTGAGTGAAGTTATAAATGCAGAGCATGTGATAAAATAGTAAATCGATTATAAATAAAAGCAAATAAATTAGTCAACAAAAATTAAATTTACCTCGTCTGCCCATTTTCACCATTCCCGACAGCTGAAGAAGCTTTTCTCCCACCTCCACCGCCCCCGCCGAAACCGATTTCATCCATGCTCTGACCAGTCCTCCGGTACCGACCACCAGTAGCCACGTAACTAGGACAAGGTCTGTAAGCCTTGATCGGCCACCAACCAAACCCAGGCACTGTAGCTATCCCGCCTTGAATTCTTCCCTCCCCATTACATCCCCTTTCTATTTCCTCTTTCCCACATCCCTGGCATCCACTGTACATCAATTAAATCTTTAATCCTCTAATTAATTAGTGTAATTTTGAAGAAATAACTTAAAACCCAAAAAATCAAGCTGTTTAATTTTCAATTTATCAATGGAGGGTCAATCATGAATTACCTAAAAGTCGCAGATGTAGATGATGATGAATCAATTGAATCGTCGGTCGTTTCTTGATCTCCTTCTTCAGAAACAACTTCCTCCACGGGTGAAGACGAAGAAGAAGATGAAGCAGCAAAGAGTTTCATTGATGAAGTCCTTCTCGCATGCTTGTTAAGATTATTAACATCCACAATTTTAAAACTGATCGACAACCAAGCTTGCTGTTCTTTGGGAAATTGTAAAACTTGCTTGTTTAAAGTAATACTGCTAGAAATCGATTGGAGGTGGAATTTTTGGGGCGGCGTTGTGGCCGCCGGTACGGGGACGAAGGCTGATATTCTGGTGGCGTAGGCGGAGCTCATCCTCTCTCTCCGGCTCTCTCTCTCACCCGCTCGACGAGGAAGAGGAAGATAAGGAGAGATGTAATGATAGCCGCAGAAAAATTTCGATGTCTTTTATTATTACAACGCTTTCATTTCCCATCTCTCTACTATGGCCATCTAAGAACCACGCCTCCGTTTCCTATCTCCCCTGTCACAAATCGAAAACGAGATATCTATTGGCTTATGTTCATTTTCCAGATTCGGTCACTTTTTTATAATGATTCAATTCAATTTCTCGTATGAGATTAGCAAATGACACATTGCAGTATTAATTGACAAGACTGGTACCTTTAAAAAATTTGTTGAAAAATCTTCAATGACAATGTTCCACTAATAGTTTTTGCTTCATATTTGAATTATTTTTTTAATGCGTATTTTTAAGTATTTTTGTGTTGAGAATGTAAAAAGGTGTATTGAAATGTCAATCTTTCTCTTTCCTGCTAACGTATCGCTTCTTTTAAAATTGAATCACAGTCATAAATTTATCATTTCTTTTCAAATCTTAAGGGCTTGTTTAGCCAACATTTTATTTTAATTTTTGTTTTAGTTTTTGATTTGGATTTGAGATGTGATTTAACATGTGGTTCGAGATAAAATTTAAAAAGTTGTTTGTGTAATATTTTAAATAAAATATTAATATTTTTAGACCGCTACCGGACCACATCCACCACCGACGCAGCCGCCGGACTGCCCACCACCGCCGCAGATCTACGACCGGCCAGCCGGAATTTGGCCGGAATCCAGCCAGCCAGTCGCCGGCCGGCGGCAAGGGGCGGTCCAGCGGTGACGGGTGGTAGTGGTGGTGGACAAAAATTGTGTAAAAATAATTTTTGAAATATTTTTTAAAAGGTAAATTAAAAAATTGTTTGGATAGTATTTTTGAGAGATATTTTAAGAGGTAAAATGAGACAAAAATATAAAACAAGTATTGGACAAACAAGACCTAAATTTCTTTTTTTCAAATTTGAAGTTTAAATAAGATCATTTCTTATATGCTCTAGTAGAAAATCATTTAAAGGTAAATGTATATTACTATAACTAGATGTTAAACCCGCACGATGTGCGGGGTATGTTATATTTTTTTTTGAGTTTTTTTATACAATATAAAAATGTGTGTCACATATGTATAAATTTTTTGAAAATACTATTAATTTTGAAGATTTTGAATAAACGAAAATGCGATACTTAAATAATTTATATATGTATAGATTTACTCGTAGAATCAAAATATTAAAGGTGGGTACAACGATTGAAATGCTGGACCATTTTCAAAGTAAATAAATGTATATTGTTATTATAATATATTTATTTTAAAAAAATTATCAATTATAAATTTTTTATGCAAAACTAATTTTATCGAGCCAATTTCTTAATCATGTATAATGAGGATTTTGTTTGATATTACACAAAGTTATTTATTTTTGAATTAATGAAATAATGTCACATGAGATGAAATCGTATGTGTCACTCTGGCAAAGATTTCATCTCATGAAGCAATCTTTCAGTTTAAAGATGGTTGTTCTAATGGCTGGACATCTCTTATTGATCTTAACTCAAACAGCCACATTCAATGGGCGAAGAAGAATAATCTTTGTATATTTGATCATTTCCTTTAAGTTTAAGGTTATTCAGGTTTTGCCATGATTACAATCTTTCGACATTTACGCTTCTCGCATATATCATGCTTAAATACTAATTTGCATAATTACAGTATTTTAGTGTTTTCGATACGTAATATTCAACTTCCAAATATAAAATCACGAATTTGGGCTTGAAGGAAAAGGAAAAAGTAAAAAAAAAAAAATTAAAAAAAATAAAAATTAAAAAACCAAAAGAGAAACTTCCAGGATTTCTTATGATTGTGAAGTTACTTGTCAAATTATATTATTTAGGAATTTTCAGAGATGAAATGCGCATACATTCATTAAGTTTTCACATCGGAGGATATGCACGACTCATTAAGAATAATAATATAAAACTATATCTTTTTATACACTCAACTTTTTATAAACTATTCCCATGATATATACTTAAAACTTAGCCATAAGGATTCCATTTTGATCTCAATTGAAGCAGGGGAAAATACTTAAAGAATTGATTGAGTAAGCGATGCTGTTAATAAACATAAAATTATTTTGAACAGTAATATAGTAAAGTCTTATTAATCCATAAAAAAAATGCCTGCAAAGTTTAATAGTTGGGCACGATTATTACAAAAATTGAGAACTGGGGAAATCGATTCCATGCAATTTTCCCAGTTAAGTTACTAACTGCGTATCAAAATTTAGTGATGCTAACCAACCAAACTAGGTGGGTGGGGATGGATCCATTTCCATCAAAAATTAATTATTCCAGTCTCAAGTAGTTTTTTTTCTTTTTTTTTTTAAGAATAAAATTTACTTATAGCTCTCGAAGCATCATCGCATACCTTTCAAGATCGTTAGCCACTTAAGAAAGATCCCCGTCGACGAAATGGTCCTCTAGTGAAACGGCACATTGTGAATTTGCCTGGTAACTGTTCTCATAGTCACCAGAATTGATAAATTTAACGCTGTCTTTAAACAAATCGCAGCAATCGAATATTCTTTTGTTGGAGCGTTTAGACTTAGGTAATTGTAGAAATGTTTTAAGACCTGCCTGGATCCGTTTAACAACTTCGGCGCTTACCGGTTTCAGCCATTTTTTTCCTTAGAAATCTTTCGGGTCTTTCACCACCTGCTTAAGCAATGTTACACAAATGTCATTGTACTGGGTGTCCTTACTAATTTCCTCTGCCGTTTTTGGTGCCGCCGCCGTTGCCCAGGATGACCCAACCGCCACTACGACTCCTAGTAGGAATAAAACACTCAGCCTCATTATTGCCATTTTATCCTTTTTTCCCCTTCCGGAAGTCCTTTTTTTTTTTTTCCCTTTCTTTGCCTCTTGTTTTTCTTTTTGGGTGTTTATTTGTTGCGATTGTAGGAAGCAATGCATGAGGTATTTATAGCTAATGGATTATCTAATGCATGACTTGGCCTTCTTTTTCCATATCATGAGGGCGAGGAAATTCTGGGAAATGTGACATCGGGAAGGAGGAGAGCAATTTGCTCTCTGCCCTTGTAAACTTTCTCCAAGATTTTTAGATTCTTAGTTTGAGCAGTTCTTTCTGCTTACTCCCTCCATTTCAAAATATAGGTCGTTTTAGGTTTAGGGAGATTTTTCAAAATGTAGGTCGTTTTACAATTTCTAGGCAAATTAATAACTATTTTTCCAAATTTCACCCTCAATAAATGATGCTAATATATTTTTATTTAGTCTTGTTTATAGTTTCAATATAATTAATGAGGGTAAAAAGATATTTAACAAATAAATTAATTGTTGAATGATTGTCTCCTTAGTTTGCGTGTCAAGTCTAAAAAGACTTACATTTTGAAATGGATGGAGTATTATTTTTTTATTTATTTATTTGGCCAAGTGAAGATTCATAGCACCAAAAATTTGTGGACTTGGAGTTGTACTCCACAATTATTGATTGATCATTTTTGAATATTTACTGTCTATTTTTAAATGTCTTAATTACTATCTGAATGATTGGTACCTATTCATTCCTTTGAAATTCGTTTATATCACGAATATTGTCTTTCACAATTGAAATCGTTGGGTTGAATATATATTATCATCATATCACTCCTAGCTAATTAATTATATCTAGTAACATAATGACCTTTTAACATTCAAAAGTGGGCATTGTTCTACTGCACCTTCGTTCAAAAATTAATCTAACCAGTGTTGGAACATGTAATACCCTTCCACATGCTAATCAATAAGTGGTCTCCCCGTATATGTGATATGTCATTAATCACTCACTAGATGTTAAACCTGCGATGCGCGGGGTAAACATAAATATATTTATAAATTATTTTATAAATATTCAAATTGAAAAAAAAATTACAAAAATCGTCAAATTTTAAAAGTAACCAAATTTTCTTTCAGTTTATGCATGTGAAGAAGAAATAGTTGTCATGCATGATACAATTTAGGATGAGTCGACATAAAAGAGGGTGAAAGATTAAGTTAAAAAAAAATATATATCTACATATTATACTAAAGTAAAAACCAGAGAGAGAAATCTAAAGTTAAGGAGCACATGCCACATAGGATTTTATCCTATGTGGTATTTTCTTAATTTTTTAGATATAAAAATACACAAAAAAACAATAAAAACTAAAAAAAAAAAAAGCAACTGAAAAAGTCCAAACCCTATATTAATTCGACCAAATCCCTGCAAATCCGATGGACGGATCTCTTCCTCCTAAAAAAAACGCAACTGAAAAAGAATTTTATATTAATAATTTATTAAAATAATTAAAGAAGTTAGGCCAACCTGAAACTTCTATAATTTAGCTTCAAATATGGAATTGCGTTAAAATACTATGGTGATGGGTTGATGTAGCGGGACTAAGAATTCAAAAGTCACTCCGAAACAAGGAATAAAGGTCCTAATATCCAATTTTTTTTTTATTTTTTTAATTTTTCTTATTATAAAATTAGATGGCCTCTACAACAAGTTAGGATTGTTGTTTCTGTAGTAACCATTCCTTATCATAAACCTTTTCAAAAAAAAATAAAATAAAATTCTTTATCATAATTTCTTAACCACCCTAGCCGACCTTTCCATCCCAGACTACCAATGTAGTCTACCAAGAAATATTGCAATATATATAATTATTTAATTCAAAGTTCATTTTTTGTTAATTTCTTAACAATTTTTTTTGCGTTATATAAATTACCAGTGTATACGTTTGGTAAAGTATTGTCGATATTTGTGTTTTATATTTTTTAATGAATTCATTATATATTTTATAAAAATACAAAAATTAATACAAATATTAACATTGCGTTAAAATACTATAGTGATGGGTTGATGTAGCGGGACTAAGAAATCAAAAGTCACTCCGAAACAAGAAATAAAGGTCCTGATATCCAACTTTTTTTATTTTTTTAATTTTTCTTATTAAAAAATTGGATGGCCTCTACAACAAGTTAAGATTGTTGTTTCTGTAGTAACCATTCCTTATCATAAACCTTTTTTAAAAAAAATAAAATAAAATTCCTTATCATAATTTCTTAACCACCCTAGCCGATCTTTCCATCCCAGACTACCAATGTAGTCTACCAAGAAATATTGCAAGATATATAATTATTTAATTCAAAGTTTTTTTTTTTAAATTTCTTAAAAAATTTTTTTGCGTTAAATAAATTACCAGTGTATTCGTTTGGTAAAGTGTTGTCGATATTTCTGTTTTATATTTTTTAATAAATTCATTATATATTTTATAAAAATACAAAAGTTAATACAAATATTAACATTTTTTTTGATTTGTTTGTGTAATAATGTTTATGTATATGTGCTCCCCGTCCATCGGACGGGTGTAACACCTAGTTCTTTCTATCTCGAGATGATGTTCTAATTTAAATTTAATTGTAACACAATTTATAATAGTAATAACTAATGTTAAAGTTGGTTCATATAATTGTGGATGTATAGCCTAACATTTTTTATTATTATTTATTATAATTATTTAGCTTAAATTTAAAATATGCTTTTATTATTTTTTTGGGTTAGTGATTTGTTTTACCCATTTACTGTGTAAAAATTAGGAATAAAAAAAATAGATTCTACTTTGGAAGAGTTTCATTTAATAATGATAATTAGTTTTGCAACCTAACAAATGCACATGAAATGAATCACTAATAAGTATTAGATTTGCCTCCATTGTAATTTACTTTTGTCAATACTCGGTTGCTCAGTTATAATCTTACTGTCCTCTTAAATCTTATATTTCTTGGAAGTGTTTCTGGAATCATATATGTCTTATACCTGTAATAAGAAAACGACAACTAAAGCCAATATCAATTTCAATCATATTTAATCTGGTCACATGAGTAGGAAAAAAAAGAAGAAGCAAAACTTATTACAATAGGTAAGAAAATGTGAGTTTGTGCTAGAATTTTCAATTTGATATAACAATGTCTCAATATATTGGTACATAGTAATCAACCTCTTGTGTAAGATAATTTTAAATTTTGAAACAATTTTAGATTCTTTAAATACTGGGATTTGATTTCATAACTGTAGGTAAAAATTGATTAATTTTTAATAAACTTTTTGGCCATTATGGTTAAATTAAATATGATAATTGATAACTGATTGGAATATGGTAACGTAAATGGAATGCATCCCTTTTTGACCATTATAATTATATTAAAAATGTTAATATTGTATTCCAATCAATTACTTGGGGGTTATTTTGGGGAGAAATTGTTTATTTTTTAGAATTGAAAGCCCATTTGTCCTCCAAAATAAATTCGTCGCATTGATGTTACATAATTCTCATACATTAAATTTGATCAGTTTCTATAATTGAATTATCGTCTGGCCATTTTGAACTTATGATCTAAATCAATCCAGTAGTAATTGTGGAAATTATTTTAGGGAGGGATTGGAGTATAATTAAGTGTCAAAACTTACCCAATTAAGTGCACCAAATATGGGATTAGGTTATTAATTATTACCTTGATTTTGGGAGTGAGATTAATAATTATGGATATATTTAATATTAATTGATTTGGATAATTATGATGAATGTGTTAATATGTTATTACTGATTTTTTTTAGGGGTTATTAGCCAAATGTTGAAACTTTTTTCTCTAAATTTTAAGAAATTGCCACGTAGAATTTTATCTTATGTGGCGTAACTTTTTTTTTTCAAAACATCTCTCTAATTTTTCTCTTAGTATAACATACTATACATAAATTGTTGCAATTTGTATAGTTTTGGTATTATGTGGATTTTTTAGCCGTGAAAGCATAAATTTTAAAAATTAATTGTTAGCTTTTTTAAAAAATTTGCCACATAGAATTTGTCCTACATTGCGCTATAGCATAATAGATAGTTCCTTACTTTAGGTTAGTGAAAAAAATAAACCACTATTCTTTTTCCAATTTAAAGAGTTTCGAAACAAAAGAGGGTTAGAATAATGATGAGAGAATTGATCAAGTAGAGGTTTTATTTTTTTATTTGAAATTTATTTTAAATCTTTATATAATCAATAGTTGTGATATTGTATATTTAAGACGCGATTCGAATACACAACATACGATTAAGGTTAGCAAAAATGTTAGTTACTTGCCAATAAAGGACATTTGCGACATGAAAAATAGGAACTAAATGTTATATTAAAAAACAAAGAAAATTTCTGAAATTTTTTTATATGATTAATTTGATGATCTATATATATATATAAAAAAAACATTATTGATCTGTTTAAAAAAAAAAGTCATATGGGAATGTATCAAAGAGAAAAAGAAAAAGAAAATGCCACGTTTTTTGCTGTTATGATTTTTTTTTTTTTGGCCCCTCGAATAAACATGCCATGCTGAATTAATCATTAAAGGAGTTAGTTTTTATTCTTCATTTTTTTTGCGGGGACAAGGAGAGAATTTATTTGATTCTTGGAATATGTTTACTGTTAAAATGATGTAGTCTAAATTTATAGATATAACATTGATCACTTTAAATTGTATATAAGCCAAAAATTCAAAAATTGTTAAATAACATTGAAAATTTGATGAACAAATTCTCCAGACTACACCATTATGGTTGTAGATTTATTATATTTTTCATCAATTGTATAGGGTAGTGTGTCAAAATTTTACCTAAATCATAAATATTATGCCTTTGGATATTATGGAGAAAAACAACACATTACATTAAAAAACTCAATATCAAGAAAAATACTACTGTAAGTTTCTTGCTATTTGTAACCTTTCAAATAATAACATTTGGTAGCAATCTTGGAATTCATCCCATTACCAGAAGCTA